TTTTTTTTTTTTTTTTTTTTTTTCATACCATTCGACGCGAACTTATTTCTCCGTCTAGCCCGGTCTGGCGCAAAGTGAATCGACTTTGCCAGACGGCATGAACTTCTTCAGATCGTTTAATCTTATCGCTGGAGAGTACTTGGCCGAACCTTTTGGAAGGCGTACATGGAATTGTATCATCGTGTTTCAAACGATAGAGTTGTGCATTGCACTGTGTACGCGGTGCCGTATTATCAAACAGCCGCGACGGAAAATTTCACCATTGTGAAATATAGAATCCAATGGAATCGAAAACGTAGAGAAAATATAAAAATATTTCTATCATCACTATATTAAACCTTGAATTATTTTTAAATATTCTGCAGATATTCCTCGTCCCTTTTGTACAGTCTGCACAAAACACTAATTGTTGATTCGCTTGTTACTTTTTTCCTTCCCTTGGTCCCCTTTTTTGCGTATACTCAAGAGTGTCAAAGGAATAATGCCTTAAATAAATCAACTATTATTTTATATATATATATAGAGCATTGCTCGGACGAGAATTTTGCTGCAAATTTACCTTGTTCTATCTATTGAACACACGATGTCGCGTCATGTGTTATTTCCGCTGGCGTACAGATATAACAAGCAACAATACTACTACTATTTTAACAACGGAACTGAAACGAGAAAAGTTTTGAGATTGTGTTGTGAATTGAAGTGTTCATTATTCCTATTCTGCGTGATGTCTACGATAACATAGACTCGAATCATATCATCTTCTCTCGACCCTCATCCTTTGTATCAATTTAACACGTCTTTCTTATAAAATGTCAAAAATGTGTAAAATCTATATCTGAGAGTAGATTATTGAACAGAAATTCAGCCAGCTTATTCTTAATAAAATCATTCGCAAATTTAACTACTTTTTATAACTTTTACAATTCAATTTAACAGTTTAATTCAATGGAGAAGTTCAGTCATAAAAATGAGGAATTGACGAGGATTAAATTTAACGTGTGTCTTCGAAGAAAACATCTACGTTTATCTATTTAAATTGAAACGTATCTTTTCTTAGGGAATTAGTCATTCTTTGATCCTTTATGCTTGGAAACAAAATTACTTGTGACTTCTTTGTTAAACTTTTCTATCGTCAGATAGCTCTAGGTTTAGATAAATCGAAAGTACGACTTTCAGGTCCGGAAGAGGAGAAACTGTTGGGTTCGATATTGTTGCCGTCGTACAGAGTTACCGTATGCAAACCCGAGGACAAAGTTAACAAAAAGTTCGCGTTCAAAGCGGAACACGCGAACATGAGGACTTATCACTTCGCAGCAGACAGTCGCGAAAGCATGAATCAATGGGTGAATGCATTGACTTTGGCGACTCTTCTTCAGGACCCGAGTCCGTGAGTATACTTGTTTTTCACACCGTTTGTAATTGGACTGCGGATTTTTCAATTTCTATGGATACATAATTAAATGAAAATTGAATCCAAACAGAAAGTTCTTACTAATATTGAAGTGCATTTTCTACAAAGAAATTTGATCTACTTAGATCTTGACTGAGAGACTTTATAGAAGTAATTTAGAAAAAATTTAATTTGTATGAATTTTTCAATCTTGAGTTGGAAGAAAAAAATATATTAAATTTATACCGTACTTTATAACTTCTCTTGTACAAAATAAAACAGTTAAAATTATATTACACGTGTAAGTGTTACATACTTATACGAAATGAAAAAGAAACAACATTGATGTTTCTTCTTAGTTGATCACGGATAAAATGCTGCTTTGCCTCGTTTG